TTGCTCACGTGAGGCTTGGCACACAATGGATTTGGCCCATTACAGCACAACCTCTTACGTACTTACTAGCTCTATACCCGTGCTTCACTACGAAACTATGTGATCAGCTTAGTTTTTGAGGAGGAAAATAAGGGGAAAAAATTCTGCCTCTGCCTACCAGCATCCATCGGTATTCTTCTGGCTAGCATCCTGTCAATGTCTGAGAGTGTTGAGGGCTGTTTGGAAACTGAAGCATGGAAACTGAAACAGTATTTGCTGTGTGAGCAAGGAGACAGCAAGGAGCCTGGGAGTGGCTTAGCTCAACTGTTCTGTACTAAAACTGCTTGGTGCTGTGAAACTGAAACTGAAACTCCTCTCCTCTGCTTGTGTTTTGCATTTGGAACAGATTTCTTTTCAGGTGGGGAGGGGGAGTAGAACTCCTTAGCATCAGAGCGTGTTAATAATAATATACGAAATACTAAGGCTTTGATGGTCATTTCAAACAATCCTTTTTTAGTGAGCACATAGAAGCCAAGAGGAACATAGGTGCCAAATTTCAAGTTTGTAGGCTTTATGGTTCTGGAGATTTTGTGATGATGCGTGAAGTGGTATTTCATTTTTATATAGAGAGATGATAATCATGTTATTGCTAAAATGTATAAACTTTTGTTGAAATGAGATAGAAGAACAAGTGAAATAATGTATAATAAAATGGACTAAAGACTTTGGCTATAATATACAAATGGATCAAAGGGAAAAGATGTGGCTAAAAGGACTGAAAGTTACTTTATGTTCTAGTCTTAAAAACAATTCATGTAAAATTATGTATTGTTTGTGTTTGTCACTAGAGGAAACTTTATAGAATATATAAAGATACTTTGAATTATTGCTGGAAATGCAAAGAACATGAAGGGACATTTTACCATGTTTGGTGAACATGTAAAAAAGCTAAACAAATTTGAATACAAATGGATGGATTAATTCAGAGGATTTTAAAAATTAAAGAACATCTGAAACCAGACTTTTCTTTTGTGACTAATGGACAGTCAATTAGAAAAGAAGTCATGAAACTTTGTTTTTATATATGGATGACTGCAACAAGACAATTCTAGCTCAAAAGTGGAAATATTTGATATTACTACAATGGAGGATGAAGATGATGGAATTTGCAGAGATGACTAAATTAAAAGTTTAAAAAATTTAAAAGTTGATTTTCAACTTTTATTTGCTGTTACATATGATGGAGATCAGTATATGTCAACATGTGCTCCTAAAACAGACTGTGAAAGCCCTATTTGGTATACAACAGCTTTGAGAAGGGATGATCACCTTGGGGCTCCCTTATGGTTCCTGTTTAATTCACATCTATTCAAACACAATGCAATACCAAAACTAAGCTAGTTCATTAGGGAGCTCATAGATTGTACAAAGCCCTAGAATAGGTTTTTTTGTTTTGTTTAGATGCATTCTCTTGTGCAGATCCAACCAATTGTAGTTTATTCAGCAAACTGTTAAGGTAACTGAATTCTATATTTGTCCTCGCCACCTCTTTTTCTAGTGGGCAGAAGTACTTAACGACTTGCTGAATTGTATATTACTCTCAGACAGAAAATTCTCAAAACAGTTTGTAGATAAGAGGAGGTGATTTGTTGTGGCTGTATCTGGGATCATGATTGAAAACTTGCTTGTAAAAATGACAAATTGCCTATAAAGCAGACTTTGGCTTTTGGGCGTACCTTTATCTTGACGTAATACCAAGTACTGCTCAGTTGTAAGGCAACTGGCCAAGAGATTTTCTAAGTCCACCCATATCGAACTGAAGAACAGCCCTGTAAAAAAGTGAACAAAAAATAAAATATACTGAATGTCAAGAATCCTGGTAATTTACATGTAACATAGGCCTATATCTTGCATTGTTTTGCAATATCTATTTGATTACAGGCAGAGAGGCAAGCCATAGTGGATTTTTTCTCATTATGTGTATTTCTATTGACTTTGTTCATTGTCTAAAATCACATATGTGATAAGCAGCTGTGTACGTTTACCAAATAAAATCAGAAAGTGAACAAACTTCTTATGGAATGTTTTTAAGTATCATTGTACAATTGTTTATATAATGTCAGACACACAAAAAAAAACAGATCAACATGTGCAGAGTTAAAGCTAACTACTTTATTATATTCTGCTTATTAATACAGGATTTTTCCCAGGCTGCTCTGTCTTCCCCTTGGGAACAGATAGAGAAGGCACCATGCTTGGGGGAGGGGTTTTTAGTGTTGGATCTCTTGCAATTAGGTAAAGATTCAAGGCTAATTACCTACTTGAATCAGCCTCCCTGCCTGGCTGGGCATTTCCCAACATCCCTCTCTCTCACCCTTCTCCTATAATTTAAGATTAAAAAGATAAAATGATCAAATCAACATTTCCACATAGTACTGTGTTAAGAGACTATTTTGTTAATGGTATCCTATGGAGGTCTATTCACACAATCCTACCAAGTTCAGCGGGACTTCCTCTACAGCTGGAACAAATCTCATGGGATACAAATGTAATTAATATAATATAGTATAGTTATAATATATAAAATTATGATATAGTACAGTATAATATATATCTACATCTATATATAAAATATAACAATATAATAATATAGGATGAATAGATCTGCAAGAGTTTTGCAGAGAAACAGAAAGCGATGTCCATCAAAATCTATGGGGGTGGGGGGAACCCGATGCCTAGCCCAGGGGGTCTGCACTGCGACGCCCTTACCTTCTAGATCAGGCTTCAAGTGGCCAAGGTTGGAGACCCCTGATCTAGACGACCTACAAGGTCCAACTCTGTTAATGTGTATCTATCTGTATCTGTATCCTGATTTCGAGGCAGAAAGGCCGGCTGTCTGAACGGAGACGGACGGGTTAAGAGATAAGCCGCCTAGACTAGAGAGGACAGCCCATCCGATTGGGGAACAGCACGTGTAAACGAAGAAAGAGGGGGGGCAGTTAAGCGATGATTGACAGCAGAGGCGGAGACCTCCGATTACGTAGCTGGCCGTGAGAAAGAAGCGGCGCCGCGGGTTGTGATTGACCAAAAAAAAAAGGGAGAGGGGGCGTGGCCTTAGCAGCATGGCGGCCTCCGCGGGCGCTGCGGCGCTGGGCAGAAGTTCGCGCGCGGCTCTTTCCCCTTGGACGCTGCGGGTCCCACGCGCCGGGCGCGGGCGGCTGCTGAGCCCCGCCGGCCTCGGAGGGCGCCCCCCGGCTGCCCTGGCCGCTTCTAGCCAGCCGAGTGCGGGAGGAGAGGAGCGCTACTGCCTGGATTTGCTGCGGTGAGCCCGGCCAGCGGCGGCTTCTTCGGGTTCCGCCGGGGCGGGAGTGGGGTGTGGGGAGTCGGGCCTGGGCTGGACCGGACTGGGCAGGTTAATCCGGGCAACTCCCCCTCCGGGATGTGGTTTGGCACCTATTTGATTTGCATATATTTCGATAATGTGACGTGGAGGCGCGGAAGGCTGCTCCAATCGCCCTTGAGGACGACCTGCAAGCCGAGGCCGTGTCTTAACGTTGATTACGGAGAGTGCATTAACTTCCTAGCTTCCTCTCCCGGGATTTAACCTTTCTGCATTGCATTTATATCCCAGGCGTCCCTCTCCAAAGAGCCCCGGTGTCCCCCTTGTGCGTTTCCACACATCTCTTGGCTAGAGCGCCATTCCTAATACAGTATCCGTTGTGCTTGTCCTCTGCAGTGTCATTCCCTGATTTATTTTTTATTTTTTGCATGGCGACCACAGAATAAGTAGTTGCCCCATTTTTCAGGTTTGTTTTTTATTTTTTTCCAAGACAATACGGTTGTGGTTGTTGTTCCGTCGCTAAGTTGAGTCCAACTCTTCACAACCTCATGGGTCATAGCAGGCCAGGCTCCCTTAATGTATTCTAAAAGCATGTTGGGTCAAAGCTTTTTGATTATTTAAAACTAAAGAGGGGATGGCCAGAGAGATGGAATGTGTTGTGCTGTTTCAAGCTTAATTTGGAACATGCCTATAAATAGAAAGTTAATTCACCAGGAGTTAGAACTTCATTTTTCCCAATAAACTTTTTATAGATCCTATTATACTCACTCTCTTTCTGTCATATGTACAGTATGTATGTAACAGTTCTACTGTTAAATTTGTTACTGCTTTTGTTGGTCTTAGAGCTGTAATAAATTGATTTCATTTGACTTCATAAATGCAAGCCTTCATCTGTGGTTTGAAATGGTACAACCCATTCTACCTTTTTATTGCAATACATTTCAGCTTTATATCTGTTGGACAGATAAATTGCAACTATTTTTGATGACCAGCAAAAATATGTTGCTTTTTCTCTACAGATAGGGACTTTTATTTAATTGTTTGTGCTTGCCTTTACATAGCACCACGTTAATCTTGTAATAGCTTTTGAAGACATGATGTGCCTGTAACCTGAATTTTAAAATGAATCCTAGACATTGTGTATTGAGTATATACTTCTACTTTAGAACAGGAATGGGCATGCTGGTACTGTATGCTCCCGAAGATCTGGACTACAATTCCCCTTAAGTCTGCAGATCAGTGCTTTATAGTTCTAAGAATTGTAAACTGGACCATATGGAGAGTACAAATTTACATCCTCTTGATTTAGAGCAAGGGTCGTCAACAAGTTTAAGACTTGTGGACTTCAACTCCCAGAATTCCTGAGCTAACATGACTGGAGGAGGAATTCTGGGAGTTGAAGTCCACAAGTCTTTTTTTCCCCAAAAAGTTTTTTTATTTTTTACACATCTCTTCACGTGAGCAAGATGATTCCAGATTACAATATTTATACATAGTCAGTTACATTTTCAACTTTCTTAATTAATATCACTTCAAATTATTATCCATTCAACTAATCTTTAGATAAATTTCCCTTTCATGTTTCAATTCATTAATTCAATATCAAAATCATTTCATCCTCACATATATTTTCAATTCTTTATCGCCTATTTCCATTTTCAGCTTACCACCTATTTTATGTTACCTTATGTACTGTTATCATCTATAACTTTCTCAAGACCAATATGTAATTAGACAATCAATGAAGGAAAAAACGAGTAAAAGTAAAGTAAGATTAATACATTTGGGATCCACATGGTATATCTCCCCATTTACAGTATATCTTATATATATTCCCGAGATATTCATATAATCATTTCATATTTTTTCTTTGTTTCCAAAAATTACCTATATAATTTTAATAAATTTTCATTCCCCTGCTTTTGATTATAGTATAATTCATTCATTATAAATATTTTACATTCCCACATAATCCCTTCTAGTTCATTATATTTTCTATTTTCTCATGCCCTTTGCATAATCAATTATATTTTCTATTTCATGTATACCACAAAGAAAGAAAAATAAAAACAGAGTTAATTTCTCCTTTTACTTCCCTATGACCAATTTCAACCTATAGCATTTATATAACCCTAATTCATACTTTTTGAACATAATACCAGATTTTCACCCAGGTCATCATATTCTCTGTTTTCGTACTATCATTTAAATAGTAATTAGCATATTTTAGAATATATATATAGAAGATCCACAATCCAGACGAACACAATCCAGAAGCATTTTTAATAAAAAAACATTTTTAATAAAAAATACAAAGATACATTCCCATGTGGTATCCCCCTTTTATGCTATATATCTAACCCTTATCTCTAAATCTCTCGGCCTTGTCATTTCTCTTAGTTTTAGCCAGCTTTCCCTTTACTTTCCCTTTACTACTGGCCTTTCCTCTTTATCCCTCTTTTTTCCTCTAATATTGTATTTATTTTCATCTGCCAGTCCCCCATCTTTCCTCCCACCCTTTCCTTTTCTCTTTTTTGAAATTTCTTCTTGTACAGCTTCTTCTTTTGCTTACTCTTGGGAGCTTTTTCTCTTTTATTTATTATCTCTGTCATCAATGTCTTAGTTTTAGTTCCTTTTGTGTCTTTTGGCAATGTCTCTGAATCTTCATGTCTGTCTTGGCTGTTTTCCTCTTCCTTTGGCTCCTCCTTTCTAAAGTTCCTTTGTTCTGCTGTAAATTGCATTATTTTTTCTGCCAGTGTGTCCAATAGTCCCCTTCTTTTATCATTTCTTTCACAGTTTGCACTTCCAACTTAAGTTCTTTGCTTGCTTCTTCCATTTTTTAAAATCAATTGTATTATTCTTTATTTTATTAAAGTTATTTGTAATCCTTGCCAAGAGACTCGGTTTATATCTCTTTTCTTTATTGGTCTTTCTATTTCCTTTGCACAGTCAACCTGCAACAGTCCCAAGATATTACTTTCCTTTGTCCTCTGGCTGCAATCTCCCCCCCCCCTTTTTAAAGCTTCTGGAGTTCTTGTTATATTAAAGTATTTTATTTCATGTCTTTTCTCATTCACACATTTAACAGACCAGTAATTTTCCATAAAGTCATCCAGGAAAAAATGTCTTGTACCATTAGGTGGTGCTCTATATCGCTTCCACTTTTCAAAGTTCTTTCCCCCCCCTTTTTTCAATTATATTAATGTTAATTTTCAAACATTTCAAAGATTGGCCTTTTCTTTAAAGTATAATCGATTCCAAGCAAGTTCAGCATTTTATCCAATGCCTAATTAATGCCAGATTCTGTATATTATTCCCAATTCCATCCTTAATTTTGTTATAGCTCTTTTGTAGTCTAGTTTTTTATTTACCTTATATTATCCTATTGTTTTCTATTCGCCGCTGTTGTACTCTCAAATGAGGAATCTTTCTTTCTGCTTTTCGGGGTTATTAAAACAAAAGTTTCAGCTTCTCTTGTCTGGATACACGCCGCTCGCCACTTCACCTCTTCAGCACACACTTAGGTCCCAGTAGCTTCCCGTCTTCAGGGCAGCCATTAAAATTGCTGCTTCTCCTTGTCTTTCAGGGGAGTATACCCAGCCAGGGAGGGGAGATGCATCTCCCCTCAACCTGGCTGGTGGTCTCCCCCTCTTCCCCCACCCCTCCGAGGTGGGTCTGATGGTTCTGGTCCTGTAGGGACCCCTCCAACAGGGTAAGCACGGATCGAAGCTGCGCACAATCGTGGTCTCTGTCCGTCCTCAATGGAAGTTCCACCCAAAGTCCACAAGTCTTAAAGCTATCAAGTTCAAAGACCCCTGATTTAGAGGATAACTGCAAAATGATTTTGTACACTGCTTGGAATTGCTTTCTGTGAGATGGGCAGCCATATCAATTTAATAAATAAATAAAATTAAAAGCTTAATTGAATTGAGAAACTTTTTATCTGTTCCACTGGCTAAATGAACTAAATGTAATGAAAGCAAATGCTCTTATTTATTCTTGTATATCTAGAAAACGGGATTATGAAGGCTTCCTCTGTGCACTGCTATTGCCTGCAGAATCACGTGCCTCTGTCTTGGCCCTGAGAGCCTTCAATGTAGAACTGGCTCAGGCAGGTATTAAAATATCCATTATACAACACAATGTTAACATTACAAAAAAAAAAAAAAACCTAAAAAATCCAAAACATGGAGTTTGTGTTTTTTCCTGTTAGTTACTGTCTTACCAAGTTTAGTCAGCAGTAGCAGGCTGTCTAAAATAGATTGTTTACTTACATACAAAACATGACAAAAATAATTCCTAACCTGTATGCATTACTTTGAACATAAATGTAGAACAATCCTCCAATCTTATAAAACTGTGCACGTTGTACAAAATAAATTGTTTGGGTACTTTATAGTCTTTTTAGGATTCTGTCATTATGAATAGATATTTATATCATTCTGTAGTAGTTTATGAACACATGAAAATAATACTGATTTTAATGAATTGCTCTGGGATATTTCATTATTTGCTTTTGATATATTCAGCTGTCCCTTTAGAATATGTATCCTGATGCTTTTAAGTAGCTATTGACCAATCTTTAAGAATATAGTTATAGAGGGTCATGGAGGAAATAGATTATCTGGACTTGTTTAAATCAGTTTTCAAGACTGGATTTGGCACATGGGTAACATTGATTGCTTTTGAAAGAAGAGAGAAATTAATAAAATCACATTATGAATTATCGTTATGTAAAAATAAGGCTTTTGCTTTAATACTTTTGTCCCAACTTAAATGTTAATTGTATCCAGAAACTAGTTGCTAAATATATATGTTAGTGTTACATTGCTTGTCCCATAGAAACAGTTCCAATAAATATTTTGGTTGCAAGCTATAAACCAGCAACCTTAATATTGTCACTATTGAAAAAATTGTTATTTCCAAGTAAATGAGTCTTTAGTCTTCCAAAAAAACCTACCAAAATCTGACACTCATTTCAAAGTTGAATTTAGAAGGTACACATCCAGTATCCAAGGCTAATATTGCCTTCACATTGCCTATCTGCCTTTTTACACACCAAGAATAACAATATTTGTTCAATAAGCTTGAAATGTTTTCTTGCTTATCTACTACTGACAATAAGGTGGATTAAGAACAGTTGAAAGAATTGAGAACCTGATGTTAACAGCCTAAACTATCAAAAGTAAGAAAGTAAGATAATTTGGCTTATAGATTTTATTTATAAATTATGTATTATGGTTGATAGCTTCCTAATTTTAGAATGATCAAATCGTTGCAAGCTCTTTTTAATACTTGAAATCTTGGGATTTCCTAGATCTTCTCTTACTTATATCTTTGTCATCTAGTGAGATCTATTGTAGCTGTTTGCAAATAAGTAAGAGTGTGGAGCCTCTCTGCTCTACCCATGATGAGATAACTCATCCATGGAAGAATCCTGTGCCTCTACAACAGGCTGCTCTTTTTCATATCTCCTCCCTTTGTTTAAACAATATCATATATTTGATGTGATTAAAAAAAGCAATGTAATTGGACTATCACTCCTATTGTGTTTCTATTCCAGATTAGAGACTCTGTAACTGAGAAGACCATTGGTTTGATGCGGATAGAGTTTTGGAGGAATGCTGTAGAAGACATTTACCAGGATAATCCACCACAACAACCAGTGGCAATAGAGTTGTGGAAGGTATAAGGCTAAGCAATGCATTAAATATTTTTTGGGGGCTAACTAAATGCCACCCTGAGCTAAAAAAATTCCTTCCTTCCTTCCTCCCTTCCTTCCTTCCTTCCTTCCTTCCTTCCTTCCTTCCTTCCTTGATGGGGTGTTCTCTGGGTTATAAATTACATTAGCCTATTTTAGCTTCATATTAATATATGTTTCTGTATTTTCCATCCCACAGTGGCAAAAAAAAAACACCACGCACCCAAGTTTTGTCAGTGCTGGTCAGCAGTATAGGATGGGGGTGGGTCAAATGTTTGGTATAACATAGCCTTTACATTTAAGATCGTTTGTAATTATAGTGCTTTTATATTTGTGGGAAATGCTCTTGGAAAGTTTTTATCAACTGGCTTGAAAAGTATTGGAGTTAAGATAATGGAAAAATTTAATTCAGGAAATGGAAAAATATCTTCTGTGCTATAGGGTAGATACTTGGGTGTGACCCTTTATCAGGAAGACGTGGGGAGAGGCAAATGATGCCCTCTTTCCTTGGAAAGTAAACAAATAATGCCAAAAGTTCTGATAAATTGCCTAATCTTTTCCACAATGACCTTCAGGTTTTTCAGAGGAAGTTGCCTGTCCTTTGGTCCCCATATAAATTAGAACCACCTGTCTTGCTTCACAACAGTAAAATAGAGTTTCAGATAAAAGTTTTCCTGAATATAACTTTCACTTACTCAGTCACCAGTTACAGCTGTGCATTCCAATTTTGCTTGTATTTTTATAATCCACAAATCTGTAATGATTCCTAGGATTAAAATCTTCTTTTTGTTAAAATAGTTGCAGATGTTCAACTTAATTGCTAGTGACCTCACATTTAAGAAGGTACTAGTTGCTTTGCAGATCAGTTCAGACCAGCGATTAACAGATAATCCTTACAGATAATCCTTGAGTTATGGTTGTAATTGGGACTGGAATTTCTGTCATTAAACGATGCAGTTGTAAAACATGAGGTCACATGTTATAACTGAATTCCACCAGCCTTTGGCCAAGCCATTCTGGGCTTGATCCCTCCAGGTCCTGAGCTTTGGTTGTTCCAAGGTAAGGGATTGCCTCCCCTTCAGTTCCCCCAACTGTTCGTTCTCTCCCATTGGCCAGTTTAGACATTCTGCACCCTGCCCTACAGAGCGATAAGCAGTTCCAGGGCCATGTGCCTCTGGACAAATTGCTTCCCTGCAACTCACAGGCAACTTGGCATGCTGTGGCTTTGGAGGTGCACAAAGCCACTGCCGCTTCTAGAAGCCACCACAGACTTGTCCCGGCCGCAGTTGCCTTCACCACCTTGCACTCCGAGGCCCCTGCTATAATAAGACATGGCTGTTTTTAAGATTCAGAGAGAGGTGATTTGGATTTCACATGTTGAAAGAGATGTTACAGCCCTGTAGCCCAGCCAGGATAGCAATATATCTTTCACTGCATTTATTTATTGATTTACTTTCAAAAGCTGCACCTCCTCTCTCTTGATTAAATTATCATTTCAATCTCCTACAGCATCTGATTGTTGACTGTTGAAAATGGAATGTTAGATTAAATAAGAGATTGGACTGCCATTTGTCAGAAATGGGGTAGGGTCTCCTGCTTGGGAGGGAGGGTTGGACTAGACGACCTACAAGATCCCTTCCAGCTCTCTTAATCTGTAAAATCTGTAAGCTTTTAATATAAGGCAGCAGCGGTGATTATCTTCGTTTG